CTGGAGTCAGAGGCCATGGGCGCTGCTCTGTAATTACACACGACTCAGAGGGCAGGATGGCTTTCCAGCCACAAAAACAAATAAAAATTCTTGCTGTTAATTTTGCACCGGTGCTGTAAACTTTGCCAATTACTGGCAGGAGAAGCAGAGAATCTCCAGGTGTTTGTCTCTTGCTCCCTTTACTCTTTTACTGGGCTTTTTTTTTCCAGCTGATCAGTGTTTAGTATGGTTTCACCATCAAACTGCAGCAGGATCCCCTGACTCTGCTCCTCTAGGGCCCCTAGCCAGCCGGTTTTGTAGACGCGTGTTAAATCACCAATTTATAAAGACCGGGAACAATTAAACTAGGATCAGGTGAAGATGATTTTTTTAAATAAAATGATTCATTTATCTAGAATGAAAAACTGATGACTGCAAGACCCTAAAGGACCAGATGGTCTATTTACTTGTTTTAATTGATGAACAAATTACCAGCCCCCCTGATCTATTAGAAACGGGCAACTCCTGCTCCCAGGATCAGATGAGCAAACAGATGTGCGCTTTTTGGTTGTTAAAGTGAGCAAGACCGAGCAACATGTGTTTTGTATTGTTTGGCATGTCTGCAGAAACAAGTGGATGATCATAATGAATGGAGCAGAAATACCAGTTTCCCCCTCATAAAGGAATTTACCTCTATGTCAACTTTCAAATACCAAGAATGGATTTTAAATCATACAGAATTGCCGTGAAGTTCTTTTGCTCTGAAAGCACAATATTTTGTGCACATTTTTCTTGGGATGGCAAGGCATGAGTAAAAGTAGAGCTTTTTTGAGATTGACTAGAAACACTTTGCTGTTTGTGTGCTCATGGAAAATGATTTTTTTTTTACTACTTCAGGAAGAATGACATTTGTTTCTGCTGGCTTGTGCATTTCAGTTTTGCAGTATTTTGCCGAATACTGTACATAGTATCTACCTGCAGTCATGCTCGAGATCACGAATCTGCACTCCCGGTAAAGACTGAGGTGTGAAAACTCGTGACCCTGTTATATTTTCGACATAAAACACCAACAGCTTACAACACAGTTGTCGTATACTGAGAGCACAACCCTGCGTGCAGGGCGAACATCAGGCTGGAAAAGCAGTACGCACCTGGAGCTGCAGCTCCTGGATGGTCTTGTAGTAGGGGCTGTAGTCCCGGTCTCCTGCCTTGACCCTCTTCTCCAGGAACTGGCGGATCTTCAGCTCCAGCTCGCCGTTGGCGGCCTCCAGCGTGCGCACCTTCTCCAGGTAGCTGGCCAGGCGGTCGTTCAGGTTCTGCATGGTGGCCTTCTCGTTGCCGGACGTGCCGAGGTCGGCCTCTCCGGCCCCCCCGGCGCCGCCGAAGAAGCCGCCCCCCGCGGAGAAGCCCCCCGCCGCCGAGCTGTACCCCCCGCCGGCGCTGATGCTGGAGACCCGGGTGCCGAAGCCGCCGGCGCCCCCGTGCACGCTGGGAGCCGGGCGCACCCCGAAGGCAGAGCCCCCAGTGCGGAGGGGGTGCAGGGAGACATTGCGCAGGGAGAACGCTGTCGCCATTCTTGCAGAGGCAGAGAGCTGTGCAGGCAGGCAGGGTGCGGGAGCACAGACCTCAGCCTCTTTATATAGCTATCAGACAGGAGGCCGGCTTTCTCTCTCCTATCGTCTCCTAGACCCATCCTCTTATTGGACCCTGGCAGCACAAGAAAGGCGGTTTCAGCCCTCCCTCGTAATTGCTTTACAGATATTGGTTTTAATGGGCTGTGGAGTTTAACTTGCCTGAGGTCTCTTTCCAGGTAGAATGGGTGGGGAGCTGAGATTTACTGATTTCTCATGCAGAAGAATCACTGGGCTGTTAAAAGTCAAACAGATTTGCTTTCAAGTGACGAGGAAGAATGGCGTTCAATGGCACTCTGAACACGGAAATCTCGGTTGTTTTCGCTCGTGTTTGATGCAGGATGGAAGCTCACTCCAGGACAGAGGTGGCTGCAGATCTTCCTTCAAAACTGGGCTTTAGGACAGCGTGCAAACCTACTGCACTGCAGCATTTAGCGTGGACTGATACCTGCTCCGATCAGCTCCCTATCCCTTTCCTGATCCTGCAGCAGGATTGATGTTTTCCACTAATTTCCCCACTTGCACGGTGCCCCTGCTGTTCCGCCCAGGTGCCGCGTCTGTCTTGTGCTCTGTAATTTCACACAGGCTGTGGTCAGCAACCCGTCGCCAAGCCCCGGCAGCAAGCAGCAGGGTCAGGGACACGACATCTGTTTTCTCAGGCTGGTTTCATCTTTTCTCTTTTAGTGCTCTGCATTCCTGTGCAGACAGCAGGCCATGAAACACAATGCTTCTGCAGTGAAGTGAGACATGCTGGTCCTTAATGATGGGTTTCTCTGTGGTTGTAATCCTGAGCCCAGCCCTCACAGCTGTTTGATTCCTTTTCCTCATTGACTCAGCACAAACTCCAAGTGGGAAAAAACAGAACTCAGATGAAGATCTTGTTCTGTCTTTTTCTTGTTTTTCCTATCTGTCTTCTAGATCCAGAAGTCTTGATAGCTCACCTGCCCCTCAGAACTGGTCCCTCAAGTCCCAGGAACCAGAGAGCGCTCCAGCAGGATCAGTGCCTCCTGCAGGTGCCTGAGATGTTGGGTTATGGGAAATGGACCCAGAGACTGAAACACAGCTGCCTGCTTGCTCCTCCATTGTCTTTATACTGACTCCTTTGCTGCTCCATTACTGCTCCATCAAGGCCAGTGGGATGCCATCTGCAGTGAAAACGGTTCAGATGAAGTTAGGAAGTACTCAGGAGCTGGCTATGCTTTCCGTCACCAGGAAGGAGGTCCAACAGGAACCGGAGTAAGTTCCGGCCTCAGAAAGCCAGACAAACACAGACAGGTGAAGATGCATTTGCTTTGAATAGAGGTGACTGTCAAGGACTCTCAAGGAACTGGATACAAGTTATTTTAAAATCCATCTGGGAAGTAGTTTTACCACCCTGGAGACTGATCTGGACAGATCTCAGACGTTCAGCAAGGAATGATAGGAGAAGGGATGAGAGATCTCTAAAGAAAGGCAGGCTGGTGCTGTTAGTGGTGTGTGTGGACCAGTAGGTGGTGCTCTTTCCTTAGAACCCCAACTTCCAACTAATGTCCCAGTATGGTGACTGGGGGCACCTTGATACAAGAGGCAGAGCATTGGTCTTTTGGATGTGATGTTAAACCAAGACTCTGAATGGCCAGTAAAGATTCCCTGGCGCTGTTTTTAGAAGTAGGGGCATTAATGGCAGTGTCCTGATCAAATTCCACTCTGTGCAAAGTTTTGTACACTCTCACCACCCAGAAGACCCCCCCCCCCCTTAACTGAACCAATTTCTCCCTCCTGCCCCTGACCTGCTGTGCTGTTTTGGAATAGCCCCCGATGAGGGTCTGAGATGGGCAGTCTGTGGGGGGCAGTTGAGCACCCACAGTGACCAGCCCCCTGTTGTCTGGGGGTCTCTGCAGTGTGTGCCTGTTGTGCCGGGTTAAATTACAAATTAAGCAAGACAATTCGGCAAACCGTACGTGTGTATAGCATCAGCGTCACCTCCTATTCTGTCCTGTCCCTAGTTTCCTGTGCTTTGCTGTCCTTCTGGTCTCTCTCTCTCTCTGGGGCTCATTCACCTTGGCTCAGTATTGACGTTCGGATGTCCTGAGACCCGCCTAGCCTCCAGGTCGCCCCACATCCGCTGCCTGAGTGCATAGGTTTCCATACGGCTAATTCCCCGTTCCGCCGCTATGCATATGGGTCTCTTTCCGCTCTCCTGCCTCTCCACGGTTCGTCCCTTCAACACCCGTGACAATCAGACTAGTGACTGACAGGATCCACCCCCAGCACAGAAACCACAGTGCCTGGGAATGGAGAGCAGGACGTGCTGCTGGCCTGGACATGTTAGACTGGCAGCTTCTGCATTGTGCGTTTCCAGAGGCGTCGCCCCCCCCGGGGTACACTGCCACTAATGAGTTAAGAAGAAGAGTTTGATCAATTCTAGAAATGAGCTTTAATAGCGCGTTCTGGCTGGCTGGCAGGGGACTGTGAAACACGGCTGGGACAGGACCAGCCTGCTCACCCTGCTCGCTGGAATCACATTTGCTCCCCGATCGGTTCGGACTACCTGCTCCAGTCAAGCACGGAGCATCAGGACGAAGAGCCTGCAACTTCCTGCTGTTAGACCCCTTCTCAGTAAACCCACATGACTCTGGTCAATCAAGCTGGAGATATTTTTTTTGTTGCACTAAAAAACGGAGGACAGATGAAGTTAACAGGCTGACCTTGTTCACTTCACTCACTTTCCTACGGATTGCAACAGGCCTTTATTCTCGAATATGAGCAAAAGTTCCATACAAAAACATACATGTGGTCAGTAACAGTTTGTTACCCTATAGGGTGTAAACAAGGTCAGACATTCAGGCAGTTAACCAAGACCCTAATCAGCTGTGACCCCTGTTCACTTTCATGTTGATAAATCACGCATAGGATACATTACACCTCCACTCAAGAGACCTTGAAGGAATTTACTGTAGGCCAGCTGGGAATGCACAAAACAGCAAGACAGTTCTTGAGGACTTAATTGTTAACTCCTTACAGGTACAGGTTCCTTCACTGTCAAATTCCTCCAAAAGTGTCCTACACCAGCTCTATGTTATATTATACTCCATGTATTGATCCATCCCATTTCCTAAACACGTTATCCAATTCAGGGAGGTGGGGGAGCTGGAGTCTATCTTGGCAAGCAATGGACACAAGGTGAGATACACCCTGGATGGGACGTCAGTCTGCTGCAGGGCACACACAGACACAGACAAGCACACACACACAGACGGACACACAGATACACATTCACACCAGGAAGCCAATTCATCTACCAGTATGTCTTTGGACTGGGAGGAGAACTGGAACACCCAGAGGAAACTCACAAGCACACAGGGAGAACATCTCCACACAGACAGCACCCCAGGAATTAAACCCAGAGCCTCAGAATGTGACGCAGCAATGCAACCCTCTGTGCCACCATGTTGCCCATTGTATTATACTCTTTTCTGTTAAATATGTTTATTCTTCTAGCAAAAAATATCCGAAACAGTGGCAAGTTAAAGGCACCAGCTCAAATAATAATTACGTTTTTTTTTTTACTGTGCTGCTCAAAACCAGTTCAGCGCTGGGGACTGAAGTCAGGCAGGCTGTTTGATTCCCTGTCTGCCCTGGTTGGACCCCTGCAAGCTGACACATGTATCGGTATTGTTAGAGGGGAGAATCTGTGTTGTTCCTGGCAGGACCTGAGGCTCCAGCGTTCCTGCTGCAGCAGTCTCCCCCCTGCCAGCCCTTCCCTGCCCCCTCTGCCCGCCCCCGCGCCACCCTCTTCATCAACACACCTGGTGAAAGATGGCTCCTGGAAAAATCATCAAACGCAAACAAAGCAGCCAGTGCTGCCGGAGGGCAGCTGGGGAGGGGGGGCGGAGGCACCCCCTGTTCCCACAGCGCAGGGGGGTTTGAGAGGGAGGCTGGCACAGCCCCAAGGCAGCTGAAATCAGTTTACTACAGTTCAGGCTGGAAGTACCCACTTCAAACTCAACACTAACCTCAGTAGACTCGTGTCCTAATGCTGCTCCCTTCCTTATCCAGCTCGGATACACAGAAAGTGATTAAGCCCAGCCAGGCTTGGTTTAACACCTGGAAGAGCTTCGAAAAGGTGATTGAACTCTGGCCTTTTTCACCAACTTTGTAAATCACATTTCGGCCTGAGCCTATTACAGGAGCTGTCTCACGGGGACTTCGTCCAGAAATTACAGACAAACCAGATGATAATAATAATAATAATAATAATAATAATTGCTTACACTTATATAGCACTTTTCTGGACACACCACTCAAAGCACTTTACAGGTAATGGGGATCCCCTCCACCACCACCAGTGTGCAGCCCCACCTGGATGATGTGACGGCAGCCATAGTGCGCTAGAACGCTCCCCACACACCAGCTATTAGTGGGGAGGAGAGCAGAGTGATGAAGCCAGTTCAGAGATGGGGATTATTAGGAGGCCATGATTGGTAAGGGCCAATGGGAAATTTGGCCAGGACGCCGGGGTTACACCCCTACTCTTTTCGAGAAACGCCCTGGGATTTTTAATGACCACAGAGAGTCAGGACCTCGGTTTTACGGCTCATCCGAAGGACGGCGCCTGTTTACAGTATAGTATCCCCGTCACTATACTGGGGCATTAGGACCCACATGGACTGCAGGGTGAGCGCCCCCTGCTGGCCCCACTAACACCTCTTCCAGCAGCAACCTTAGTTTTTCCCAGGAGTGGAAAAACTGGCAGTTGGCAGTGCCCTGACAGCGACGCGATGAAAGAAGGGCCCACTCAGAGTCTCGGGGATTAACACGCTGGGCGTCTGCCCACTCAGGAGAGGAAGCTGTCCAAGGTGGAATTAGCGTGGCACCTTGGCACCATTACCATGGCCTTATCTGTGGTTTAATTTGGAATCAATGCTCTGCCTGCTCACACTCAGCCCAGGATGTCCTGTCCTGCATGATTCCTGACTGTCTCAGCTTTGATCAAGCAGTAAGGAGTCTGCAGG